CATATTTAAAAAAAATATATTTATTTTCAAGGATAGGACACTTAAAAAAAATAATATTGAGAGGACGAGGATTTTGAGGTGGTTCGGACGAGGAAATGAGGAGAATGTGGTTCGGACTAGAGATTGATGTGGTTGGCCTTCCTCCCCTCCCTCCCCCTCTAACAAAATGTCTAGTTGCCCGCCTGTTTCTTAGTATCTCTTGAATCTTCTAGAGTTCACGGAGTACATTTACAGAGTACAAGCTTCAAGTTCGTATTCTTTTACCTCTTAAGTTTATAAAATGTTATAACAACTTGTTTACATCATCATTCTTCAATTCTCCTTGTAAAGGTAGGGTAACTACAACGTTTTCATAGAATATTTCATCTAGAAACTGTTTAAAAGTTAAAAAGACAGTATTCAAATAAAAAGCCGGGGAATACAGGTGTTCTATCAGCTGTTTCTTAGTTTATACAAAACACTCGTAGTAGTAAACCAGCTTAAACACGGAACGAACAAACAATCCTACGGGATGTAAATCTTACAATATGTTAGGATTTAAACAGTTTGCCGTCTTAGTCGTGATAAATTCTTTGTCAACCATAGTTACAGTGATTTTTGTTACTAAATACTGTGAGAGAAATTCAGGTCTTGGTAATATATTTTATTAAACGATAGCTGAAGTCCCNTAAAAAGTTAGCCTATAATGCCCCCGGGATACCCCTGGGTTCCCTAAAAAAATTTCAGTCCATTCGGTTCAGCCGTTTGGGAGGCTATGGGGAACATAAATACGAATGTCTTGTTTTATTATTGAGATAGAAAATTATAAGCTAAATTTTCATTCGTCGCTGGTAGCGCACACCTCCCCGGAAGCGATTTTCACCTCGTTGTTACGACCATTTTTCTAATTAGTATATTTACGCGTATGAAACCGAAAGCGTAATTGGGTGCTATGGAAACGTCTTAGCACGGAAATGGCTCAAAAACGGACTCATAAAACTAATTTAATTATCTCAACTTATAATTAATAAGACTATATTCTAACAATTTTCACAGCCATGGCCGCAGCGCTCGGCCCCCTAGACTTTCCTAGCCGCAGCGGTTGGCCCCATATCCCGTGCTAGCTGCGGCTCAACCTAACCTATCCTAAATGAATGCTATAGATAATTTTTTTAAATGAGAGAAGACGATATTAAATTAGTTTATGAGTCCGTTTTTTGAGGCATTTCCGTGGTGAGGCTTTCCGTGGTGAGACTTTTCCATGGTGAGACGTTTCCGTGGTGAGGTGATTCCATAGAACCCATAATTGATAGCCTTTTGGAATTATGTTATTCATCTTATCAGTTTATCTGCTAATATTTATTATTTATTCTTTTATCATTGTCAATTGTGACATTGTGACTACTTGTACTTATTTTTAGGTAATTTCCTAGTATAAGATTTTTGGACCTTCCAATATTTTGTACAAAAATTAAATTACGATTTTAGCTATTTTTCCCTATACAATTGAACCAACTCAACTTAAAATTTTAAAACAGAGCTAAGAACATTCCCGTGTTTCTCCGGACTTCCCTAATTAAAACTTGAGGCAAATTGGTCAACAAATCTGTTTTAATAACAATAAAAATTCATAATTGTTACCTTTCAAGTCTTAAGAAAGAATAAACAAGTACAGAAATGGCCAAGCTTGTTCCATTTGTAAAAAAGTGGAATTCTTTAAATTTATTTTACCTAAAACTAAAACTCCTTTTTAGCCTGAAAAGAAGAGAGGCATGTTCCCTTACTTCCTAATGTAACAAATGGAACCTGAGGCTCTTAGCTTGGTTCTCTTAAACATTAATGGTCAAGAGAGATCAAATTTAAAGCCTCCAAATCCCTAGGATCTATTAGCAAAGCATCATATCAATAGTAATGTAAAAAAGTGTCTACTTTAAGTTACTTTAATAAGCATTTTCAGTAATATTCTATAGCTAGGAGTTTGAAGGGTCAAAGTTTATTACATTTTTTCAATTAAACTTTGCATTGTATTTTGTGTGTATTTTGCAATATATTGGTTCTATGATATTTTTTTAAATTAAACTTTGCATTCCGTTTTGTCTGCTTTTTGCATTATATTAGTTCTTTAATATTTTTTTCAAAATGTCATTTCAAGAAGAAAAAATATCAATTTCTTTATCTAAATGTCATTTCACAAGTGTTAAGAGTTTAGGAAGTTTTAAACAATCTCACATTAGTTATCGGTTGTGCTTTGTGTATTGAAAGCAAAAAAATACTTTAGCAGGTTTTTTTTTTGATATTTTTCCGGACAGAAATGCCTAGGATCCGGATCCTAAGCACTGGTATAAAGTATATTTATTATTGGTAACCAATATGAGTGTTTGGTGCAGGGTGCTTATTGCTGCGGAGGTTACTAAATTGATGGTATTGTCAATTTTAATGTTTCCTCTAAAAGAAAGATGTCTACCAATTATCTGACTCATTTTCCAATAGATATTACTGTTGCATGTATTGGTATACTCTAGCCAATAATCTGTCAACTTGTACACACCATTTGCTTTGCAATATTAACAATTTTGACAGTAAAAAATGTTATTTTTTTCCTGCAGCCGAATTTAAATAATTTTTACTGCATTGCTGAAACACCAAAAACTGGTTCCAATTGAGCGTTGGCTCACATCTTGAAACACTGATACAATTTTAAGTGGATTCAACCATTGTTGAGCCGCGACTCAAATTTATAACCGTGGCTGAAATTCTTTAAATTCGGCCTCTGAATTCACAAAGTTAGCCCTGCATAATATGTATTCCCTTTTGTGCTTTGTTTATGAATAAAATTATTATTCAATTTGCACATTTGATTTCATCGTAACTTTGCTAATTAACAATTTTAATTTTAATTTACTTCCGTTTAGTTAGATTTTAGCAGGAAATAAAAATTAGGATTCTGATCAGAACTGCCAAGCTTTTAATCCTAAACAAAATTTATTTTTGTACTTTTTTATATAGTACAGTCATAACCAGAAAGGCCTGGAATTAATTATAATTAAACAGACGACTTTACTTTACAATCTAATTTTACAAATATGATTAATGAAACAATAATTAAAAAATAGCCCTGGTCCTGCCAATTCTAAAATGTGATCTGCCTTTATTGGGTGTTTAAAATTACTAGATATATATGTGTAAAATCGTCTATTTAACTGTCAATTAATTCCGGGTCTTTTTGGTTATGAATGTAGAAAAAAGTAGAAAAATATTATGTATTGCAAGAAATCCACAAGCCTAATATACCCCCCCCCCCCTGTTAAGATGTTGATCTATTGTATATCTATATACTGCATGGTATGGAAGCCCAAGAGGATATATTGTATAGGAAAGTTTATTTGGTTTTGTCAACTCTGCAGATGATGGATTCTAGGGGGAAGAAGGCTCACAAACTTTTTGTCAAGTTTCAACTTAGAAATTAGATTTTATAAAAAAAATAAATACCATCCACTTCTTTTTCCTCCTTCTAATAATGCTTTAACTTTAGTTCTTTTTATTCACTTTTTATAAACTATTTGTTCAAAAAGTTCAATCTCTTGGTTGTGGATATCGGCTTATATCTGTTATTTCATTGGTTGAACGTAAAATTTCTTGGCTTCTGATTGGCTATTCATTTCTGCAGACAACACTCTGATAAGTTGAATTTTAGGCCCTTCACTGGATAAACAATAAAGATGAAATTGATTTGTAGATTAACAAAAGATCAGGATAAGACATTGATCTCAATATCCACAATACAAGAGTACCCATCTCTGATAAAACTGCCAGCTTTCACAGAAGTCAAAAGCAGAAAAAATAGTTGTTGCAGGGTAAATGTTAAAAAAAAAAAAAAAAATATTTTTCCATTGACAGCAAGATGTTTAAATAATGTTTTAAAATTATCTTTATCTCTTAAACTCAGAAGGGGGGGGGGGGTAATTTGTTAGTTGGTTTCATACCTTATTATGTAAAAAAAGTTTGCGGAGAGCTTAGAACTTCCCGTTTCTTGCAAACTTAAGTTTAATCAAGTTTAAAACAAAAAGATATTAGACAAGGGAATATTTTTCTAAAAAATTGTTGTTCTGTCCCAAGTATATCACAGCATAATTCAGAATAGATAATTTATTATCTCTTGTATAACTCTGAACCACCTATCAAAAGGCGTAATATTTAGATATTGTTAGATTCTAATTGTGGAATTGATTTTTTATTAATCTTAATTAGATATATAAAGGGTGAATTTAAAAAAAGGATTATTGATGTTTTGGACAAAAGTTTTCAAAAAATTTCGGTTTGTTCGGACTTTTAAAATAAAAAAATTAAATATGTTAAAAAAATTCAAAAATATTTTGAAGATGGGAAAAAATTGAATGAGATAAAACAAAAATGTAAGCCATCTAGTTGCATTTTTGAAGTCGTAACATCAGTTTATAAAGATCTCCACTCTAAATTTTTGCGGAGTTTTTACTATATATCATTCAATTTTCAATGAATTTTTATGAAATTTTGAAAACCAAAAGAATTAACTTTCCTCAAACATTTTACAGAAAATAATTTTTTTTCAGAAATTTGGTTTCTCGGATTTTATTTCAATCTTCCAAAAATATTTTGGAATTTTTTTACTAAATTTTTTTGCATGCCTAAAGTCTGATCAATTTTGAAAATGTTATCCAAAACATCGATTATCCGGTTTTTTTTTTACTAACCTCTTGTATAAATATTTGATCCTTCCCCATGGAGGGATGGATTTTTCGATCTTTGATATTTTTCATGCTTTTTTTTACCCCAAAAACTGAATTATTTTCCTCTAAAACTCATTAATTTCCCAAATTCAGAAAATGACCCCCCCCCCCCATCAAAAATTCCAGAGGTAGGGAGGGCGTGGGGGGAATATTATTTACATGTTTTTTTTTATAAAATTTACTCAAAATTTTGAAATATTGCAATTTTATTGATGTCATATCACATCTCACATTTTAAAATTCGTCACAAAGAAATTAAGCCTTCTCAGTTTACATAAAAAATGGATAATTACCTTGATATCATTAATTTAGTGTTCACTGAATTGTGAAACTTTAACCTTCATAACTATTTCCTTAATATTTCTGCTGAGTTGGTATTATTTAGCTTCTGCTTACTTTTCACATTATTTTGATGATTTTTGAATGATTTGCAAAATACTATTAGAAATACTATTAGAAATACTATTAGAAATACTTTAAGAAATACTATTAGAAATACTATTAGAAATACTATTAGAAATACTATTAGAAATACTATTAGAAATACTATTAGAAATACTATTAGAAATACTATTAGAAATACTATTAGAAATACTATTAGAAATACTATTAGAAATACTATTAGAAATACTATTAGAAATACTATTAGAAATACTATTAGAAATACTATTAGAAATACTATTAGAAATACTATTAGAAATACTATTAGAAATACTATTAGAAATACTATTAGAAATACTATTAGAAATACTATTAGAAATACTATTAGAAATACTATTAGAAATACTATTAGAAATACTATTAGAAATACTATTAGAAATACTATTAGAAATACTATTAGAAATACTATTAGAAATACTATTAGAAATACTATTAGAAATACTATTA